CAATCAAAGTGAGTGTCGGATTAGCAGGAGACTCAGAAATGACCAACTTCGTGTTAGGTTTAACAGCTGCTTCAACATTCTTCAAATCGCGCATATCAACATAAGTAAATTCCATTCCTAGACGCGAAAAAAACACACGACAGGCACGGTTCGTTCCACCATAGCTGCAGTCCGTAACAATTGCATGATCACCAACACTCATAAACGAAGAAATAGCAGTAGTAGTAGCAGCCATACCTGTACTATACACAGTTGCAAAATCACCATGTTCAATAGAACAAAGCTTCTTTTCCAGGGCAACAACGGTTGGATTTGAAGTACGAGTATAACTATACCCTTTCTCTTGATACTTTTCAATAGATTCCTGTACAAACGTAGTACTCTGATACAATGGAGTCAAAATAGCACCAGTAACAGGATCCGGTTTCACACCACCATGAACGGCAAGAGTATCAAAACCTTGTGCCTGGTCAATCCATGAGCCAGAACCCTCTGTAAAATCAGAAATTAAATGCTGATGTGCAGACATAATACAAAAAAAAACAAAAACTTAAACTTGATTGGTAACTACGACAATAAAAACAAAAACAAGAAGAAACAAAACAAAAATAAAAATAAAACAAAAAAAATATACATGTTCATCTGCGTGTGTCAGTTCAAACTGTGCTTTATGTCCTTGTTTTAGCATCAGATGGGAGAGGGGCGCGGTGTGCGTGCGTGAATGTTAAGAGGGGGTATGTATAGATGTAGCAGACGCTTCTCAGAGTGGTGCATGATGTTGTCTCAATCAGTGACTCTTGATATTACTTTACCTGAATATCGTGTTTTGTACATCATTGGCGTCGCACAGGGTTGAGTTGGGGGTACTTCACAAAGGACCGTGGGGTGTCGTTGTTTCTCGTGCCTCTTGAACCTGCAGTACTGATGGGATCAACAGCTACTACATTACCTGAAGACACTTCTTTTTGTTCTGCACCTTGACGATGTGAAGGGTGGTGTTTGTGTTCTTTCTTCATTTTATTTTCTTTTTTTCTTGTTATTACCTTGTTAAGAATGAGGTGAAAAGTGAGTGACTGTACTACGAAATATAGGAATCAATGTTGCAAAATAAGCATTTAATTATTATGAATTCAGATAAATACATCAATAAATAAATAAATAAATAAATAAATATATATATATATATATATATATATATATATATATTAGTAAATTTGTATGATTTGTTGTCATTTCGTATATTTAAAACAATTTATTGTCATGGATTTTCACTGGTTGATGTTTGTACTCTCTCTATGCTGAAGTTTGAAGTGATGTTTGTGTCGACCCCGTGTCAGAAAATGGTATAAGGTAGGTAAAGTTATTTGAAGACTCATATAAATGTGAAGATGTATCTCTTGAAGGATCGTTTGGATCAACATAACGTTCTTGTTTCTGTTTTGCTTTCTCTTTTTGTTGTTGATGTTGTTGTTGTTGTTGTTTTCGATGTGTGGATTCATGTGTTTTGGCCCTAGCACGACGTAACTCTTCTTCAGGTTCTGTAGTGCTGTTGAAGTCTAATTTAAGATCCGTTATGGTTTCTCTGGCACCGTGGATGTCCCATTTATTGTTGTGATGGTGTTTCTTTTGTTTTCCAAGCATTTCACGTAGTTCGGTGAGAACACGAAGTGGCAGACGATTTGTGTTTTGTGAAACCGTTGGCACAATTATTGATGAATGTGGAGGTGCAACGGGTGTTGGTCGAGTTTGACGCCTTCTCAGTTCTTCCTTTTCTTCCCGTTCCTTCTGTAACTCACGCCTGGTACCCTGCGCAGTTCTTAACTCGTACTGCATAGCATTTGTCTGTTGTTGTGCATGGGTACTGTGCAGCTGTCCCCGCATGAGCTGCAGGCAGTGGTTTGCGTGACGAAGATCATCGGCCTCGCGTCGGAGTCCCTCGCGCGCTTCCACGAGTGATGCCCGCTCGCGCTGAAGCTGCTGACCCGCCGACCGGATTGCCGCCCCCCGTTCTCCCAACGTCGCGAGTTGAGCTGCCAACGCCTCTCCCCGCTGGCGGAGTCCATCGGCCCGCTCCCGCAGCGCCGCCCCCTCCGCCTCGAGCGCCGTTCGGGCGCCGTGGAGTCCCGCTTCGAGCGCCGTCCGGTCCGCCTCGAGACCCCGCGACTCCTCCGCGAGGGCCTCCGACGCGTGGCGCAGCGCTGAGAGGGCCCCACCAAAGCGCTCCCGCACGTGGCACCGCTCCTCCTCCACTGCCCGCCGCCAGCGCCGGTACTCCCGCTCCCAGTCCGCCTTTCCCTGCGCAAACTTCGCCTGCTGCTGTCCCAGCCACACACGTTCCTCTTCTAGATGTTGCTGCACCCCATGGCGTACCGTCTCTAGTTTGCCTAATGTCGCTGATAGTGCGTTATGTTCCTCACTCACAGATACCGTTTGTTTTGTAACGACATCTTGCAGCATCGATAGGGTGGCCTCACGGGATTCTAAGATACGTCGTTGGTCACAGTCAAGAGCTGTACGACCATCTTCAACAACAGATCTATATTCTTTTAATCGTTCCAAAAGGCCTTCTACCGCCTGCACTGTTCGAGTAAACTCCTCAATGGAACGAGAGATTTCTGCTTCCGACGCTGCAACTGCACGAGCACGCATCTCAGCAATTTGTTCCTCTTTCGCATGTTGCTCGCGCAAGAGCGCCATTTGTTTCTCATGAAACCAACGTTGTTTTTCTATCATATCCCGTTGCTTCTCCTCCACAGCCTTCATACGCTCAAGATGTAACTGATGACGTAAAGTTCGTTGCTCTTCAAACTCAGCAGCACGTCTATTCATTGCTGCTTCCATCTCGCGCTTAAGCATTTCTTGATGTTGTGCTGCCCACGCCTCACGTGACTCAACGTATAATTCTTCCATACTCATTTCCTCATGTTGAAGCCGGTTAAGATCGTCATGTATCATAGACTGTAAGTCTAACAAAAGTTGCTCATCCATTTTGAGAACATATTCACGTTCTTCTTCTTCAGCTTTACGCCAGAATTCAAGTGTATCTTTAAAATATTTTTGATAATCTTCACGTTCATGCTGAGCTTCACTATCAGTCGTAACAGCAAATGAGGACCGTACTTCTCGACGTACAAGACGTTGTAGCTCTGTCTCCCAATCGTTTGTTTCAGATGAGTTAGCCGCAAACATATCATCTACACGTTGTAGAATAGTATTAAGAGCACTACCAATGCATTTGCTAACTAAATCTTTTACACTGTCACCAGCATTCAGTTCGGCTTTTAGTTTAGCCTCCTTCTGCTTTAATTCTTCAAGATAATTACGCTTCGATTCTATTAATGGTTCATATTCTTCTCGAATAGCTGTTTCCATCTTTATACGTTCTTCTTTTAATTGCTTCTGCTGTTCATCTTCTATTTCAAGCACTTCACGTTCCGCTGCAGATTTCATTTCTTCAATTGCATCCTGTTGACGACGTATTTTCATGTCAAGTTGCGAAATTTCTGCCGATCGTTGCGCCTTTTGTGCTCTCCATTTCTCTCTTAGCGCATTTTCTTTTTCTTTTGAAGCATCTAATAGTTTTTTCTTCGCTTCTAGTTCACGTCGTAGGGTCTCAACCATTTCTTCAGTTACACCAGATTTTTGTTCTTTTGATTGTTGTTGTTGACTCTTTTGTTCAGACCTATTTGAAGATACATCTAAAGCAGGAGTTAGTGGTTGTGTTAATTGTTGATTTGAGACAACTCGTCGGGATGCTTCTTCACGCTGTCGCTGTGCAGCAGCCCTTCGTGCCGCTAGTAATTCACTTTCACCACTGCGACCACCACTAGTAGGGTTTTTCCACGAATTAAATGTTGGTGGATTTAGCCATTCATCATCGCTTGAGCTCATCTATACTTTTTTCCGTAACTCATACAAAATTGTGTAGTGCAATAATATAATGTGATGTATCTATTCTAATAATAGCAAATAATTTTTTTTTTTGTATTTTTATTGCTTTCAACTATTTTTTTTTCTTTTTCTTTTCTCACTTAAAAAAAGGAAAAAAATAAAAATAAAAGAAAAAACAGAAGCTCTTTCATAACCAAAAACATTAAAAAATAAAAAAAAAAAAAAAAATGCTAAATGGAGTAAATGAACATAGCAGCATTAAGCAAACGTTGTTTTATTTGTGTAAGGAATTCTGTTTCGTTAGTCTTTCTTTTTTTTTTTTTTTTTAAACACTGAACTCTATTTTCTTCCTTCTGCTCTCAGCAGCGAGCGAGTCCAAACACATTTTTCCCTTGCGTTAACGCCTCCTTCACCAATTGGAATGCACCAAGAATACCAGCAATACTTGTACTATCTTTAGCACCACCCGCAGCGTAATATTCCACGTCAGCTAATTTGATAAGTAAAAAGCATTTACATTCCTGGGGTAGATCCATTGCCATTATAATATGATGTATTTCTCGCACCAAATCTGTCGCTGAAACTCCTTTTTCTGAAACAATCTGCTGTACTTTTTCCCACGAGAGTGAAAAATCGTGCGCTAGCATATCTTCCACTATACCACGAACATCAGCTGGTGTGGGGTTACCTGTGACGCGATACACTGATTCCTCTGTTACCTCACCTGTTGACATAGCTGAAGCCTGCATAGTATTAAGACACCGCCGCAAATCTCCATTACTTAAACGAAAAGCAGCTGTAAGTCCTTCATTTGTAAAAGGTATACCTTCTTCTTGAACAACAAACCGTAAACGAGGAAGCATAGCTGCTTTTTTAACAGGTGCGAATCGAAAACGAGTACATCGAGACTGTAGGGCAGGAATAATTTTATTAATATGGTTGCATAAAATACAAAACCGTACATTTTTGGTATATTTTTCTATGATTCGCCGCAATGCCGCTTGAGCATCACTAGACATTTGATCAGCTTCATCAAGAATAACCAATTTAAAAGCTGAAGGAACAGATGAATTCCCAGAAGCATTAGCATTTGTGAAAAAAATAGAACTCGTACTGGCAAATTCACGTACTTGTTGACGTACAACATCAATTCCACGATCATCAGATGCATTCATTTCAAGTACATTTGCACGAATACGTTCTTTTCCAAAGAGATGATAGGCACATGCCTTAATAGTAGTTGTCTTTCCTGTACCTGGTGGCCCATAAAAAAGAAGATGTGGCATACTTCCACTATCCATGAGTCGCCGTGTAGTAGAGAGAATATCATCATGCGCCACTACTTCATCAAGTGTAGTGGGACGATACTTCTCCACCCAAGGTAGTCCTCCGCTCTTTGCAGACTGTCCATTAGAGCCCCGCCCGTCATTCGCCGTCATTTAGAAGAAAAAAAAAAAAAAACAATAACAACAAGAGCAGGAGTTTATTACCACGCCCTCTCTTTATGTTCCCTTCACCTTTCTATGTAATGTATGAGTATCGTGAATCTAGAATATAGAAATCCACAGTGTAACGTCGATTGAAAAAGAGAATGGGAGAGTCCCAATCCACCACCTCGCCAACACCAAATACACACTCACACAGAAAAACAAAACAAAAAAAAAAAAACAAGAAGCAGTAATATTAATAAAACATAGGTAAAAAGAAAAAAAAAAAGTATACTGTAACCCATACAAAGAGATAGTTCGTTCTTTTTTTGTTGTTTAGTAGTTTCATCGCTTGAAAAGTTTTATTGTTTAAAGTATTCAGATGGGAAAAACGCAAATCCAGCTCCCCAATACTGAAATTTATCAATGATTCAATTCAAGCGAAAAAAATTTCACTAACCCTCACCCCTCCTCTTGTTTTTTTTTTTTTTATTCTTACACTTCTTCCTTCTTGATTTTCTTTGTCTTTTGTTTCGTTTCTAAAGTCAAATACTTCGAATAAATTTATTGTTTATTTCTTCTCGAAATAATAACACAAATACCAGAGTAAAAGACAAAGAGCAGTATATTCGACCACTCTACTGCATTGACTCCAGAGAAATCTCATTAAGGCCAGGTGGTAGTGGTGCCAGTGTAGAAAACTCATGCATAAGCGAAACCATACGGGTTACTTTTTCTTCATCATTACGATCAATTGGCCCTTCGGCTAGAATATCACAGATAGTAACTGTAAGATCGTATTGTTTCTTATACCGTTCCAAATCTCCTGCTTCAGTAGAGCTTTCATTCTTACTTAACCAGCATGGGTAGGCCTCACGCATTAATTTCAGTGGTTCCAAAAGACGTGGATCAAGTAGTACATCAAGAAACATTCCAGTCAAACATGACATTGGATCTCCATCGATATTTCCTGTTGCCTCAGTAGAAGAGGAATTAGTGGTATTAGCAGCACCATCAGCAGCAGGAGTAGAAACATTAGGAGAAGCTGAAACACCCGGAAGCTTTGACTCTTTATCTTTATCGAAGCTAGCGATAGAATTTACCCGTTCTGTACTTTCCACAAATTTTTTTAACGCTTCTGCAAGTTCTTCTTCACTCACAACATTATTTCCTGTGGTTTCCCCATTTGCACCATCAGCAGAATTTTGCTGAATATCATCCATATTCGGTAGAGAATCTAACATCTGTCGAACCTGTGCAAGAGCACTACGATCCTCTTCGCTTATGTCTGATGAGCTATCAATCATGGAAGTTATATTTGTTATTTCGCTCTTTAATTTCTCCAAAAGAGCCTCAGGATCTCCGCCATTCTCGTCACCATTCAAAAGAGACTGAAACAATTGCATCATATCACCCTCACTAGTTCCTTGGAGAACCTTCTCTAACTCTGCCTCGCGTGCTGCATCTCGCTGCTTTACCTCTTCCTCGTGGCGTCTTTCCTGTTCATCCATTGTGTTCATGCATTCATCAAGAAGGTTATCAAGGTCATCGTCTTCGTTGTTGGTGTTCGTGTTCGACATATTATTTAATCGACGTCACTAAGGCAGAATTCTCCTTTCTTAACTCTACACCTCTTCCTCTATTAATAGTATTTATTATTATTATTACTTTTCGGACCTCTATCCCAAAGAAAGGAATGAGATAAAATAATAATAATAATAATAATAATAATAATAATAATAATATAAGGGAACAGAAAAGAAGAGGAAGAAAGATAGCAATAGGAAAATTATAGAAGCACCTTTAAGAAAGGAATGAGTGACAAACACAAAGACACACAATGAAACAACTATATACACTACATATTCGGTTAATCATTTTTCGTTAATCGTTTGACACTACTGGTAAAATAAAAAACCACAGAGACACAATCACCATCATCAACCAACAACAACAACAAAAAAAAGAATGTATAAGAAAAATTTCTTCATCGTCGCTTTTGTTTCTTTTCTTTCTTCTTCTGTATAGGGGCCGTTGATCGCTGCTCCTTTCCTTCCGTTTCTTTCCCACTCACCGAGGTACTCTTTTTCGCCTTCTTCAAGGCTTGTTGTACTTCCCGTGGACTCGCCCTTGCAAGCACCTTTGCTGCAATCTGCCGACGTGCCACATCTGCACGTTCCTTTCGCGTCACTTCATCTTCTTCTGCCGCCGCTAATAAAGCGGCTTCTCGCTGCTCCTGATCCTGCAAATGGGCTTGACGATTGCGTTTGCGCTGTGAAATACCACTACTGGCCTCTTTCGCAAATTCCTGAAAAAACCCATTGTCCTCAGCCCACTCCTCACCGGTTCCAGATCCATCCAAAGCTCCACTCATGGAAAGGAAGGAGTTGTAAAATTCCCCAGCACTCCACCTTTTCTAAAACCTTTTTTAAGAATTTTAAAGCAAAGCGAACAAAAGAAAGAAAAAGAGAAAGAAAAAAAAAAAAGGTACACAAAAAGGAAAAAAAAAACATCATCACTTTTCTTTTCCCTCCCCATGGGTGAGACATTGCAGTATTATGACATCGAGTTACAATGTCACAATACAAACAACAACGAGAAAAAAATATATATCAGGCGAATCACCTAAAAACTAAAATCACAAATAAAAAGCACACTAACAGTGTCAGTGGTAAAGCATCTACTGCTCAATCACCTTTGTTGTGAGGTTCTTGAAGGTTGAGACTGGGACGTTGGAGATGACAGTGTAGAAGTGCTTGCGCTTGCCACCCTCAAGTGTCTCAGACTTACGCTCCACGTGGACACGCACACGGCCGGGCACACCCTTCACACCCTTGTGCCAGATGTAGGTGTTGAGGGATGCGTCGACACGGTTGTCCTTGGTCTTCATCAGCTTACCGACGAAAGACTTGATGCGCTTGATGGCGATGGGCGCACGCTTGTGGAAGGTCTTCTTCTTGAGCAGCTTGGAAAGGTGGATAGTGGCCTCCATGGCGATGTTGTCGGGCTTGCGGCCAGTGCGCTTGCGGAGTGAGGCGCGGGTGGCGCCACGCACGCGGGAGTGCTCAGCGGTGTTGCCAACGCCGTGGTACTTCTTGCGCTTTTCCGCGTCCATCGTGGCGAGCACACGCTTCCAGCGGCGGTCATCGCGTGACTTGCGGGAAGCGATCGCCTTCTTGCGGGACTCCAGCAGCGCCTGCTTCTTCTCCTTACCGAGCACCTTACCCTTGAATCCAGCACGCGTCATATTGCTCTTCCACAGACACTAGTAGTATCATAATTAATAAATGAAAAAAAAGGGAAGTAAAGAAAAGAAAATTCAAAAACTATTTCTTTTAGTAAATATACATAAATGCAGTAGTTCTCAGTTGATATAAATGTATAAACATTTCTCAAGGGAAATATTTTTTTTTTTTTTGTTCTTTCGTAAAAAAGAAAAAACGTAGAAAAAAAAACAAAATCAGACAATCAGGGGAAACACCAGTGATGTACTCTCATACCTAACAGACAAGGTTCACCTCTCTACTGCTCAATCACCTTTGTTGTGAGGTTCTTGAAGGTTGAGACTGGGACGTTGGAGATGACAGTGTAGAAGTGCTTGCGCTTGCCACCCTCAAGTGTCTCAGACTTACGCTCCACGTGGACACGCACACGGCCGGGCACACCCTTCACACCCTTGTGCCAGATGTAGGTGTTGAGGGATGCGTCGACACGGTTGTCCTTGGTCTTCATCAGCTTACCGACGAAAGACTTGATGCGCTTGATGGCGATGGGCGCACGCTTGTGGAAGGTCTTCTTCTTGAGCAGCTTGGAAAGGTGGATAGTGGCCTCCATGGCGATGTTGTCGGGCTTGCGGCCAGTGCGCTTGCGGAGTGAGGCGCGGGTGGCGCCACGCACGCGGGAGTGCTCAGCGGTGTTGCCAACGCCGTGGTACTTCTTGCGCTTTTCCGCGTCCATCGTGGCGAGCACACGCTTCCAGCGGCGGTCATCGCGTGACTTGCGGGAGGCGATCGCCTTCTTGCGGGACTCCAGCAGCGCCTGCTTCTTCTCCTTACCGAGCACCTTACCCTTGAATCCAGCACGCGTCATATTGCTGTCCTTCGCGATTATTCCCCTTTTTTTGTTGTTGTTGTTTTTATTATATCAGTGAGTAGCGTCACATGCACACAGAGAGAAAAAAAAAAGAAAAAAGAAACAAAAAGAGAGACAGTTATGAACAAATCTGCTTTTCACTTGGCTTTTTTAATGATGGACAAGAGGGTTTGCATAAATAGGATGGGGGAAAAAAGGGTACATAAGAAAGAGAGATGAATTTGGGAGTACGTTGCACAATAAAATTAATTCCATTTGTGCCTCATAAATCGGAAAAAAAAGAGTATACGTTAAGCATACGTTATCGCATTTGCGCCATACATACACATAAAGAAAGAAAGAGAGATTCTCTCTCTCTCTCTCTCTCTCTCTCTCTCTCTCTCTCTTTTAAGTAGAACCATCTTGTGTTTACTGAGCTTTGGCAATACGTAGAGTTAAAAATTCATATTTGCAGGAAATCTTTATGAGGTCATATACCTTCTCAGATGATTTGGTGACGTATTTCCAAATTATGATGACTCATAAGACCACAGTCAGATTTTTCCCATTGGGTAATCTGATGGTTTCTGTTTTCTTTTCTCCATTTTCGTTCCCAAAGATAAGAAGAAACACACAAACACTTATGAAGAGACACAAACAAGTCAACACTATCATTGACTTTATCTGATCCACCAAAAGGTATCACAGATGCGTCGTGTTAACTAGAGAGTGACAGTCACACACACACACACAAAAAAAAAAAAAAAAAAGCAGATACGTATATATATATACATATATATATATATAAATAGAGAGAGAGAGAGATTTTTACCGAACCTATTTCCCCCGCCCTCTATTCTTTCTTTTTGTGTGGGAAATTTATCTATCTACACACCACTCTTTTTTTTTCCCCCTATTATCTCTTTCATTTTCTACAACTTTTACACTCTTTACAGAAATACCTTTCTTTCTCTTTCTTTACATATGTGTTCCACCTATCACTATTTATGCAGTTAAGTAGACCTGGATCTTTGACTGCGCATGTGTTTTGCAGGATCCGTGGAATACAAAAGAGGGGGATAATCCACGTTTACACATATGAACCGAAGAACGAAAGGAAAAAAAAAAAAAAAAAACCAAAATCAAACCAAGTAGAACAAGTGAAAAAAAACTTGACTGAGGTCACCTGCACCATATATATATATATATATATGGAGCATTACTCATCACGTAGGTAGAGAATGGTCAATGAAATAAAAGAAATTGAGTCATCGCTCCCGTGTGCGCCTCCCTCATTACCAACTGTGTGTTCAAATAAAGAATATAGAAAAAAAACAAAGGAAGAATAAGAGACATTTGTCCTCGTCAATACTTCTTCTAATTGTTGTTGTTGTTGTTTTTTTCTTCTTTTTTTTTTTCTTTGATACTCTTACGTTCAATTATGTTTTCTTCATTTATTTGCGCACAAAAGGTGAGGTAACAAAAGAATCTGTTAGTGTCCATGCAATGAGAACGCAGAGGTCACTACAAGAGAGTAGCAACGACACCATGGGGGAAAAAAAGAGGGACAAGTCATAAATACCAACAAGACAATAAAAAAAAGAGAAGATATTAAACAGCAGAAACATAAAGATCTCACTGCCGTTTTCTATTTTTATTTACCTTTCGTTCTCTTGATTTTCCTTTCGTTTGTTTGGACACAAAAAACACAAGCAAAATTTCAGTATCTATTTCTCCCAATAATTTCTCGCTCTACTTTAATTCTATCGCCAGCGTATCTCCTCATTTTCTTATAAAAGAAAAAAGAAATTTACACACAAACACACACACAGACATAAATAAACAATCAATCAACCTTAGAAATCCACGTGAGTGAATAAATTGCACCTCTCATGTCATGAACAATATATATATATATATATATATATATATATATATATATATATGGGCACATATGTATATAAATACCAATTGTAGATGTAAATATATAAATGTATACATACACCTTACTTTTTCTACACTAACATTCCACTGTTATTCTTTTTCCCCCCTTCTGGTAAGGGAGAGCAGGTTTCTGCACATACCATAACAGCGAAAATAGTCGTTTAACCACCAGAGACTATTTCATTTCCTTTTATACCTCCAAGGAAAGCACTTTTTTTTTTTTTTTATGTACAAGTCATTTATTTTTATTTTTCTCATTTTTGCTCTTCCATCTTCCTATTTAATTCTCTCTTTCTCACACACACACACACACACTCTCACTCACACACTCTAACTCTTTCTCTCTCTCTGGTTATTTTACTGGCTTCACTTTCATCATCTTTTGCTTTATAACCCTCATGCTATCTAAATTTAACGCAGGGCGTCCATGAAGCGGCGTACTTCATCTAATGACTCAGCGCTCAACTCTGAGAGTAGAACCTTCACTGCCTGCACAACACCTGTCTCTGTTGGACCAATCTGCAGAGCTGATCCTCCATGCCCGAAATTCATCATCCCACCATTTCCCGGGAACGAACGTCTTGCTTGTTGCGCATTGTGCGGCTGATGATACCGCTGGGGTGAATCAAAGTATGCCTGTCGTGATGATTCTAAGTTTGCTGATCTTCTCTTTACATAATGTCCCTTCATAGGACTACGGGATGGACTCCGTCCACTACCGCCCATACCACGTGCACCGCGCTCAAGTGAAAACTCACCACTTCCCTCCGTTCTCTGTCTCGGAATTGGGTGAACTTGACCGTGTCTTGGCTGCATGTATTGTTGTTGTTGTTGTTGCTGCTGGGGGGCGTGGCTATTCACCGGAACTGCGCCAGGGCGCATTTTCCCTTTAGCGGGATCACAATAAAGAGATGGTGGTGGGGCAATAGCACGCAGATTTGGAAATACCCTGAATGCTTCTTCACGCTCTTGTGGGAGAATATCAATATCATCAAGTCGTTTAAGACTCGCAACGGCGGCAATAACAAAACGTCTGTAGTTCGGATCTTGACAAATAGGATTATCGGCGAGATTGAGTATGGAAAGGTGTTGGATGTCGCTGAGGTGTAGAACCTGGTTAAGGTCTTCTATGCGATTCTTGCGCAGATACAACTCGCTGAGTCGGCGGCAATTCTCCAGTACTCCAAGGTCACTAAGCTCATTAAGGCTAAGGGAAAGCACCTCGAGATTAGACGCACGGCGCAAAACGCCAATATCCGTCAGTTGTGCTGCGCATACATTCAACTTGCGCACACGTTGAATGTTATCAACCTTGGTCTTTTGAAGCACCAAGTTCTCAGTAAGGACACCCGCCATAGCGAAGTAGAACCTGTCTGACCTGCGGTAATAATAATAATAATAATAATAGTAATAAACCTTTTTCTTTTTGTTTTATAGTTGTAGTTGCCTTCTTATACTTTTTCTCTTAACTTCTTCTTGCCGTACTTGCTTCTGCTTGTTCTTTACCTTGTCCGTATATGAAGAAACACAAAAATGAAAAAAAAAAATGGAAAGAGATATTTCTTAGCAATAGGTATACAATTATAAAACAGAGAAATGCGTATGCATGCATGATATAAACAAAATAGAAGGAAACCGATAGATACAAAAGAAATAAAATACTTAAAACCGCACAAACACTCTCACACAGAAACACAAATGTAAACAAAAGCAAGTCGAAAAGAAAAAAAAAAAAAAAACATGATAAATAGCAAAACAGGAAGAGAGGGGGAAAAAAAAGATAATCATATTAATCTTTCTTCTCCCCACATCAACCTTACCCTGGGGAATTAAAAAATAAAACAAACAAAAACGAGAGAGAGAGAGAGAGAGAGAAAGAAAGATAATGCACTACTTATTGGGGTGTATCTATCTCTCTCTCTCTCTCTCTCTCTCTCTCATTCCTTGGCAGCCCCAGAGTTATTAGCACCATCATGATGATCATCATCATTATTATTGCCAACATCATCTCCATCATGATCACCATCACCTTGTTTTTGATTCTCTCCTGATATTATTTTGTGATCCCCTGGTACTTGCATTTTATTTACCAGTTGCACACCTAGTTTCACAATACCCTCAGAAATTAATCGTACTTTCAATTGCTTCTCTTCCTTCACATCACTTTCGGTTTCTGTTGTTTGCACTTCAAACGCCTCTGGATACTGACGTAGTATAGTAACTAGTCTATTCTTTGCACATCCACGTTGCTGCATATTTTTCAATACATGACGTGGTAACATCGCAAGTAGTACCTCAATCACCTTAACATCACCCCAATCGTCTCGTTTACTGGTAAGTCTAGGAAGAAGAAGCAAAAGGATATCTTCATCTGTGAAAATGGCATTCTTCCAGGAATCACCATCACTATGAACATCTTCCATTCCTTGTTCTCGCCTCATAACATTAACAGAAGTGGATGTAATACCTTGCGTGATAAATAGATGTGGATACTGATCAAAGAAGTCTACGCCAACATGCATAGAGTCTTTACCTCCTGCTGGTAGTAAAAGTTCACGCACCATCGCATTATTCATCCACACACCCGGAGATAAAGAATCATACAAATGGAATGCTACCACATCAGGGTTTAGAAAAGGATTTCCTTTTGGAAATTTACGTTTAAACTCCTCACGAACAATAGAACGTCGTAATTTTTGTCGTCTCATAGGCATAAGTTCTTTAAGTTTCATTCGCTCCTCATATAGCTCTTTATCGCTAAGATTTGAAAGTTTACTGCTCGTTCTTGATAAATGTTTACTTATTTCTTCTTCAGATAAAATAAATTTCATTCCAATAATTTCATGTATTTCATTGCGTAATGCACCATTTAAATAGAATCGATTATCTTCCGCCATATCAAGATGAATGGCTGGTCCAAGTTGTAGGGAAATTCGTTCTGGATATGTTAATGCCACTTGCAGTAATGAGGTTTGAAGAATACCAGTAGTTTGCCGTATTAACTCACTACATGGGATGAAATCATCCGTTCGCAAGAAACGTGAAAGGCGCCAAAGATCATAATGAGGGGCAAAATCCTCCAACTCCCAGTGTGGTCCAGAATTCTCTAAGGTGGTATTATGATTAGATGTTAACATAGTTCGAGGACCTCGAACAACTATAGCTACTCGCTTTCCAAAGTAAACTAATTGAATATATAAACTCATTTGAATTTCCAATGAGAAACTCTTTAACAAAGTCTCAATTTCTTCCATCACATGATAAAGTTGCTCTACAGCACTTTCTACAGTAGGAAGTTCCCAAACACGCTGACATGTTTCTATAGTGACAGGAGTTTCAGGAAGTTTACTACAGATTTGGAAAAATTTTGAATCTCTTTCTTTTGTATCCACTCTAGGGATTTTATTCGTGTAAGTTTTTTGTGGTTTTTTCACTTCTTCGTTTTTTAATTTCACACACAACACCCCATCCACCATCTTTACAACAAAAGAAGTATTTCCAAACTCTTGTGGAGCTTGACGACAAAAACCAGCGAGACCACCTAATTCTGCAAGGGCCTCTCGTGTGTCTTCCTGCAGTACCGACGATACCCGAGAGATCGCCACCCACGGAGTATTGGATTTTGAACGGAAACGATGAATCGCCTGTTGGACTTCCTGCTGGATGCGAGACCCCATCTCGTGAGAGGCAATGAATCTCAATTGTCGCTGCCATCCATGGAGTTGAACTAATGTAGGCAAACGATACATTTTTAAACGCTTTCAAGGCAACAATATATTTATGTGAAATAAAAAATGAAATATATATATATTAATAAGAAAGGGAGGAAGAGCACAAGTACATAAATAAATAAAGAGAAAGGCTTGCAATACTGTAAAGAAATTCAGCAATTACAGGAAACATCCCATTCAATATCACAAAAGAAAAAAAAAAAAAAAATTCCTTTAGTTTCCCAATAATTCCACTTCACCAGAAACACAAGGAAAAGAAAAAAAAAAAAAAAGAAGCAGAAGTCAACTCGGTAGTAATGATAAAACGTTGAGGTTCTTCCCATGACTGAAAAAGATATAATAATAATAATAAAGAGCGCCAGAAAACTGCTCTTTTCGCACGCATCAAACTTACACACGCACTCGTCGCTCACGATCCCACACATACTGTGGAAATGAAATAGCAAAAATTGACTGATGTGGTTTGCCAGGTTCTGGTTGATGGTATGTAAGCACTTCTGCAGCAAATCCAATCGAATTCAAAGCACCTTCTACTATACCACCCATAAAACTAGCGTAGTTAATATTCCAACGCCCTTCTCCATCCACATACTCCGGCGATGGATAAACATGTCTAAGCACAATAGGATCACTATCAAAGAGAAAGAACCGGTCCGAACCTGTCTCTCGTTGTAGATCACTAGCAGGTTTACCAAACCAACGTGACCATAATTTATCCTGAAAAAGCTTTAGCGCAGCTTCAATAGTGGTTGGCCGCCGCTGTAGTTCTAATGGGTCCTTTAGAGATGAGAGCATGATGAGTCTGGCGCCAACCAGCGCCCCAAGACTCGTTAAACGCTGTTCAATTTCCTCAACATCACGTGCCTTGGTTGGTGTATTATGAGCACGTGTACACATCTCAGAAAAAAGAAAACTAAATGCTGAGAGAGAAACTTTCGCTTCATCGTTGGGGGCTCGAGCAGACGTCTTCTCTGACTTGGAACTCCGTATACTTTCACGGTACAGCATGCTTTACTCTATTTATTTTTATTTTTTATTTATTTATTTATTTTTGGTTGTTTTGGACTTTATGTGGAAAGTATGCAGTGAAGAAAAAGGTTCTCTTCTTTATTATTTCTTTTCCTTCCTTGGCCTACACCTCCCCTCCTTCCTTACCAAAATAGGGGATATGTAATAATAAAAGAACAAGAAAAAGGGTGAATGAAAAAAGGACGTGAGAAGTCAAGAAAGATAAAAAGAAGAAAGAATTTAGATCATACTTTGTATGTATGTATGTATTGTTCTTTTCTTCTCCCTCTCTAGCACCCTTTTAATCATAGTAAGAGTGTAGAGATAAAACGAAGAAATGCCCAATATAACACACAGAGAGAGAGAGAGAGAGACACGCATTATAAGAATTCTGGGTGATCAATAATACACGACGCAAGAGGCTAATAATAATAATAATAATAATAATAATAATAATAATAATAATAATAATAATAATAATAATAATAATAAAACGAAAAATCACGAGAGGAATAAAATAAATAAGTAAAAAAAAAGAAAAAGATAAAAGCATATCCATGCTACGTTTATACTATAATAATTGAATAAAATGCAAGAAACAAGAGCCATTCAATGCGCCCTATACTGATCTCATTCACTCACTCACAAATACGCCATTCATATTGACTGCATTCGCCCTTTTTCTTCACAAACGGAAAGATTATATAAAGAGATCACTTTTTTTTTTTTTTTTTAATTCCTTTTTCACATATTTTTCTTTTTTCGTTAACTATTTGTTCACATACCAAAGTCTCTAATATATATTAACTCTCACTACAGGATCACAAAAGCAGAGAAAAATAAATTCATGGACGTATGACTCCACTCCCACTCCAGAAATTTCCTCTTCATGAAAAAATCCTCACATTTTATTAAAGACTTTGTACCAGTATATTATTTCAATCACAACCCAGGTGTAAATTGCAGAAATAAAATATAATACGCAATTATCGAGTCACAATACCACTTATTGAAGCAGATGGAATCAGAAAGAAAAGAAAGAAAACGTTAGATAAGCAGCAAGAAAGAAAGAAAGAAAGAAAAAAAAGAATGTGAAGAAGAAGAAATCATACCCCTCCCCTCCCCCCACCCCTAAAGAAAAAAAAGGGAAGATACAGAGAAATAAAAAAGAGCCAAAATACCAGACAATCAATTGAATATTTTCGTTCTCAAACTCTCAAACATTTTCTTTCTCATGTTTCTCATTACTTCTGCTTTGCATAGAAGGCAGGGTATGAAAAGAGAAACAAAAAAGAAAATCATACCCTTAAAACAGATTCTTTTTTTTTTTTTTTAATGTGTATTTCGAACAAGTGGAAATTTTTTTATATACATGGATTATTACCGAATCCTCCATGGTTATCTTTGAAGAGGTCTAGCCATTGAATTCAATGCTACTACAGCTGCGAGGCATTTCTCGTAGAGAACAAAAGCCATAACTGTTGAGGGAATAACACGACAAATATTAACTGGAAGTCCTCTATACAAGCCAAGAACACCTTCTGTACGCCATATTGTACAAAGAGCAGCACTCATTGAACGATACTCAAACAATGATCGATTTCGCTTATCTTGCAAGCGGGTTCGTACAACTTCAAGAGGGTTACATATAGTTGATGCTGTCGCTTTAGATACAGCAGACGCAAGTGCTACCTCTAATGATGTTGGATTATTATTATCACTAAATATTTCACGTTTAATTCCTTCATATAATGTCACTTGAATAGTAGTACTTCCTGTAAGAAGAATTTGAGGTCCAACACCACGAAATAGTGTGGATAAACCTTCCGTAGTAACTATAGCTTTAAGACCACTAAAAAAACCTCGTGGTTTATGATAAGTCCTTACATCATATAATTGTCGTCGCGTTTTGATCATGTTTAATGGTGTAATCATCGTTCCAGTAATAATTGATGCAACACAAGCACTCATAAAATCACAAGTAGCGCTACCTTTGTGAGTATCTTTATCTGACAAGGTATCATTTTTTATTAGATTTTTTTCTAAAGGACCAAAAAATTTTTGCTGCGCAGTTCGAAAGGTCATCAAATACATTCCCCATCCCAAGCTATGAGAAATAATAGATACAGTGATACCTCTATATACTCCTGTTAATCCTTCTTCTCTAATAATCTGACGTGCAGACCGCAAGGGATAAGTATTTCCTCCTCTGTACGTATGCATCCGTGTACGGAGGAAATCCAGTGGGTAAAAAATTGCAGTAGCGATGGAACCACCTAGTACACCTGCGGCTCCATGCATTAACGGTCCTATCGGTTTATCATGTTCCTTCACTCCATCATGCCCTGCCGCACTCTGTACCTGAAGTGATACCGCCATGTAGCGTACAAATAACTATATACCTAAAAAAAAATTATATATATATATATATATATAAATATATAAGGATCTGAGCTTGCTATAAGAGAGAAAGCAAGCAATTCGTATTAAGAATAATAATAATAATAATAATAATAATAATAATAATAATAAAACGTCGAGAGAGAAAAAAAAAAAAAAAAAAAAACAGCAGGAAGAAGGAAATCAATACGAACACAAACCTCATTCAAACATCAATAATGCCTGATGTTTTTTTTTTTCTTTTCAAAGTGTTCAGTTACTGATCGCTTCCCTCTTTCCCCAGTTAGTTTACGTTGCCATGCATTGTATTGATTTTTTCCCTTTTTTACTTGCTAATCACCCTACATTATCACTGAAGTTCAGGCCATTTATGAGATTCACGTCCCTCTTTATCAAAGCGTTCGTATCCGTGCCGACCAAAAACATCCCTTTGCAAAGAAACAAGTTGACCGTACTTAAGAGTTGGTGTAAACATTGCGTTTGTATACTGTAAGGAAGCTGACATAACTGGGAGTGAAACTGCTGTCTTTGATGTAATAAAAGACACGATATCGCGGTAAGATTGTAATCCCCCTGAAATTTCCTTTTCAAAGGCACACATAAGATTACTGAGATTGGGATTCTTTTCAAAAGCTTCTGTCATAGGTTTAAGAAGATAACCCTGAAGAATGCATCCAGCACGGAATGTCGCAATAGTTGCAGGTAAATTTAATCCAAAATTATATACCTTATCCAATTCACGAAGGCATTGAAACATTTGTGCATAGCATGCTACAATAGTGATACACATAGCATGATAAAGTTGTTGAACTTCAGGAGCATTAGGACTCTTATCCTTTAAAGTGTATCCAGGAGCTTTCGCAACACAAGGTAACACTTTAGCATTTTCAATACGTTCTGATTTGTACATTGTCATTTGACGTGAAATGACTGCCATGTTAAGACTTGGGGCAGGTACACCAACTTCCAGTGCCTCCTGTGCAGACCAGAGTCCTGTTCCTTTCGAACCAATACAGTCCTTCACGTGTTCTGTGAGGTAACTTCCATCTGCGTCCCGTGCCCGTGCTGCGGCGATGGAGATATCCAGCATATAGGATGTAAGAAATCCTTTTGCCTTCCAGTCCTCAAAAACACAAGCCACTTCATCATTTGATAACCCCAACGCGCGCAGCACTTCAAACGCCTCTCCCCACGCCTGCAGAATAGCGTACTCGCCGGCGTTGTGGTACATCTTCACACACGACCCGGCGCCCCCGCGGCCGTTCATCGTGACGCACGGCCGTCCATCTTCTGCCTTGGCGGCGGCGGCCTCCACGATGGGACGGATCTCCTCCCACACACTCAACGTGCCGCCGGGGAAAAAGGCCGGTCCCTTGCGGGCGCCCTCCTCGCCGCCGGAGATGCCCATCCCGAGAAATCGCAGGCCCGCCGCCTCCAGCTGCTCTGCCCGCCGTCCCTGATCCTTAAAGTGGGCGTTGCCGGTATCCACAATGATGTCGTCCTTCTCCATTACCGCCTTGAGCTGCTCAATCGTGGCATCCGTCGCTGCACCGGCCTGAACAAGAATGAGAACCTTGCGTGGCTTCTTGAGAGCAGCTACAAAGTCCTTCATAGTTTCAAAGGCTTTTAGATTTGAGGCAAATGGCACAGAGGCGTTTTCCTTCATGAATGACTCGGTTTTCGAATAGGTGCGGTTGAAAACAGCCACCTTGAAGCCTTTTTCAGCAATATTTAAGGCCAAATTGGCGCCCATTACGCCAAGTCCAACAATACCAACATCCATTGACATTTTAATAAGATTTTCGAATACAATACTGTTTTCTTCTTCCAGTTTTTTTTTTTTTTTTCAATCAGCTTTTTTTTTTTGTTCATGAATTAGAGAATACACAGAAACAAAAAAAAAAAGGAGAAAGAGAGAGATAATTAGAAAAAAAGGACGAAGGAGAAACCAAAGTATAGAAAACACAAATTCACCCAATAATCAACATCAAGAAAAAAAATATATATATCGAAGGATATTATACACTCGATAGAAATAAGGAAAGAACTCTCCAAATAAGTAAGAACAACAATAAAACAAAAAAAAAAAAAAAAAAAAAAAAAAAAAAAAAAAAAAAAAAAACCTTTAATACACAGTAACTAAAGTTTTGATCCATCAGTTCGATTAATCATCATGGACATGCGAATTTTCTCTTGCTCTTTTTCAATACGTGCAATCATTCGTTCACGACGCCCTTTAAGTAACATTTTACGACGATTTTTTGGTTTCGATTTTATTGAATCCTTACTCAACTCTTCCTTACTGTCAACTTTATTAGTACCAACCAATTCAGAAATGTCTCGCCTTAATCTCTGACGTTTATACGCTTCTTTTTGTAATTGTTCACGTGCTTCATCAGCCTCAGGGGCATCAATAATAAGTACCAGTTGTCCTTTTTTAAGCATCATATAAGCCTCTTCACGTGAATAGAACGCTAATAGTTTCGCTGCTGTATCAGCATGTAGGGACTCATTTAATTTTGTTAATTCATGTGCAATAATAACACGACGACGGGGTAATACTACGGCAATATCTCGTAAAACAAGAAGAAGTCGTCTTGGTATTTCATAAAATACACAAGGAAAGTTTGCCTGTCCAACCGTATTGCGGAGAATACGTAAACGCGCTCCATTAGACTCTGGTAACATATTTCCAAAGAAAAAAGAACCATCACGGAGAGAACGTAAAGAAGGTGTAGATGATATTTCTTCCTGTGTTTGAGAACTAGATCCATTCACTTCATATGGTGAAAAAGTAACACCTGCAACTGCCAAGGCACAAGTTAACGCACATGGTCCAGGAATTGCCGCTACACGAACACTTTCTGCTTGCATTTCTCGAATTAATTCACTCCCAACATCTCCAATACATGGTGTTCCACTTGTACACACTAATGCCATACTTCTCCCTCCTCTAAGAAGTTCGACAAGTCTTTCCTTCGTTGCCGTACGATTACTACGAGAGTAATGAATAAGACGACCTTGAGATTCAATTTGAACAAGATCAAGTAACGTTTTAGTTGCTGGACGATCGGTTGTAATAATATAATCTACTTGTCGAAGGACATCAAGAGCACGTATTGAAAAATCTTTTAAATTTCCAATAGGAACTGAAACCACATGTAGTGCACCTGCATCAATGTTTGTAGGAGTTGTTAATGGATTAACAGCGTCATCTGGTGTGGTCCGTGTATGACGGTATTTAAACGTTCCCAATTTGTTTCTGCTAGAAGAGAAAAAACAACGCTGATAATACAAACTTTCTTTTGAATGTTGATATGGCTGTAGAAGACTGAGGCAACTGCTCCTAACACAACGCCAGAGAGAACCATCAGCAGCGCGTCGAAGAGACATGTCCTTTTTTTTTCTCTTTTTTTTTTTTTTTTTTAATTTCTTTGGGCGTATTGTCCTTTACCGCCCCTCCCTCCTCCCTTCTCTTCTTAGAGAAAAGAAACAAAGATAAAAGAAAAAAATAATAACAATAAAGTATTACTACTTTGGTTGTAACATTCACATGGAGGTCTATCACAACCAATACATGTAAAGAAAAGAAAAAAAAAAAGACTATATAGAAAACGCCTCTCGTGTTTCTTTCGTGATGTCTTCTATTATCCGAATTATTATTATTATTATTATTATTATTTCCATTTCCATCTCTTTCTCTTCCATATCTTGCCCTAGTGTGCCTTATCAAATAATGTAGCGTACAATAATGCAGCACTCTTCCTTTGCTCCGTCATATCCATCAACTCATCACATACTGCAAAAGTAGGACCATCACTAGTACTACTATCATTACCACTACTCTTTGTACCCCGCATGATAACTCCCACTAGGTATTCCAGTAATGACTCCTCTGCAAACATGTTATCCGCTTCCTTCTCAAACAACACATCTTCTTCCTCTTCACCGTCCTCTTCATCCCCATCATTCTTCTCATCGGCTTCCTCGTCCGATACCACACCATTACCCAAGATGTATTGCTGCACCACCTCATAGGAGAGTACATTACGTTTACTATATTGACGAAGTGCATACACGACAGAGAAAACACATGTACTGTGATCGTATACAAAAGGAACTGGTGAAGTGAGTTTTGAGGCCACACGGCAGGCCTCACTACGGACGTCATGAGCATCATCAAAGAGAAGACGTAAAAGAATTAATAAAAGTATACAATGATGATTCATAGAATTAATATGCACATCCTCATGAATAGACAAAAGTCCATCATTTAAAGCCGCCACGACGGATGCACGGTTCTGAATATTAAAAACAGGAGATGAATAATGAGCGAGAACTTGTAAAAAGGCTTCACTACAAGTACCACGTCTAACACAACAGTAAGCAAGAAAACGAACAGCCCAAGATTGAACTTCTGTATTACGCAGTGGATGAGAGGCTTGAGGGTCCATTCGTTGAAGTAGAAGAGACTCCACGGAGTCACAAAGTTGTTGAAGTTCACCCGTTTGTAGATGATTATCAACACCAAGCATAACAAGAAACTCTAAATGAGCTTTCATGTGGAATACAGCTGTACAAGGTAACTGTTGATGAGAAGCGGCTACAGATAGTTCTTGTGTTAACATAAGTAACGCTGCATGTGTGGGATCATAATGAACATGTGTTTTAAAACATGTTAAGATTTTTTGTGCCGTCTCATGTGTCCATCGCTTCTCCATAGTGTAATAACTGATATGATCCATAAAATATGAGACCAGTGAATTTCCCTTTTCACCTACGAAACTACGAGAGAGAGACTCCCATATACAATCAATTGTAGTAGTAGTAGTAGTAGTAGTAGTAGTAGTAGTAGTTGTTGTTGTTATCTCTTCACCCTTCTGGGAAAGAAAACCAACACCAAGAAGAGCAAAGAGAGCAGCATTTTGTTCCACCAATGTATGATCCCCACGGGAAAGATTATACAATCGTGTAGGAGTACATGCCAACTCAAACAAGATTCCAACACCAATACGTGTTAACTCTAAACATAAAGAAATATCTCCAGAATATCCAAAACGTTTATTATAAAAATAAAGTGTATCACATGCTAAACTTAAAAAAGTAGCTGCAATAGTAGGGCAATGTACAGAAGCACGATGAAGTTTAGAGGCAACAGAAAGAGAAGTAAGTCCTTGAAGAGTGAGTTTACTAATAAGTCTTGCCACTGTAGCTGTGGCGTTACTACTCATTACTTTTGTCCTCACATTACGACGTAATGTTCCAACATAAAATGTATGAAACTGCTGCATATGAAGTAATGCACCATGAACCATATTCGCATCACTCTTCACATCAGAGATAGTGGAAAAGAATTCCATCATCATACTCTCAAGATGAGAAGGAGGAACAAGTGAAGAAAGAGCTACAGCACTAGCGGCACGAATCATTAAATTTCTTGAAGATCCACATTGTACAACAGCACGAATAATACGAGAAGAATCAGCATCCATATTATTTTCAGTACTTGTTGAAACTTTAGCGGTTGCTTTCGTGATGAGATGTGGTGGATCTGGACTTAACATAGAAAGCATTTGTAAAAGTGGAAACACACCAAGACTAGGTACTGGATTAGCACAACTCTTTACAAGTACATCATATGTAAATGCAACTCCTCTAGGAGCCCGTACGGCGATATCATGCAGAGATGTATTAACTCCCACTCCACCAGTTGAAGGGTGTTCCCCAACAAAACGTGGAAGAACTGCAGAGAAGAGCATCAGTGAACTATTTCGTATTCCCCAACTTGCGTCATCAAAGCCACTTGTGGCAATCCAAAATGCCTCTTCAAGACTTGCCACTGAACGGGATGCAAATATTTTATTTTCAAATATAAATTTCAATACATTTAATGCATTTGAACGTTGACTATCGGAAACCTCCTCATCTTGTGGTATATCTTTCATCTCCTTATTTCTATTATGTATATCGGTTCCCTCTGCTACTCGCAGTAATGCCCGCATTGCCTTTGCAAACAACACCACCGGCACACTGGCGTCCTCCGCCTCCAGTAGTGCCAACAGGGCGTGCGGTAAACCTTGACTGCGCCGCAACATCCGAGCGACACTGCGGGAAGTCACACCGTCAGGTCCAAGAAGAAAGTCCAACATCTCCGCAGGAAGTGTATGGAAAGTCGAATGACGAGAGCGAAGAAGAGCGGCGGAAACAGTTTTAAGGGCTTGTCGTACAGCCCGCATCACACCATTGTGTTTTGTGCGAAGTAAAGATTCCATGAGTACATAACAGAGAGAACGAACAACAGGAAAAGAAAGTTGATCAATAGTGACAAGTTTCATTATTTGTACAACCGCAGCTGCACTGGTACGAATACTAAGCCATGTATTATTCACAACTGTACGCATTGTTTTTTCTGTACAAGATCCATCTTTATCATAGATATGACCACGACAATCCACATCTGCCTCATTTCCATCTGTAGAGTTACTAGACTCTCCTCCAACAAGAAGAGAACATGTTTGTAAGGCTTCACGACAGCAGATAAGAAGTTTATTACATGCCTCATAGAAAAAATCCGTATCATGTTTAACTTCCCTTGCATTCGATAATAAAGCTGAACAAAGGGATAATGAACCATGCAAAGGATTTTCCTGAATATATTCATACGCACCCTTTACACCTAAAGATTGAAGTTGTACAAATTTTTCTTGTACTTTTTTAATTTCTCCTTCCACCAATTCTACTCGTCTTTTAGATTCTTGTAATGGATCTGCAATGGATGCTTCTCTTGCCTTAGGTGTATAGTAAGAAGCCAAAACATAACGAAGTACTTCACCTTCAGCTTTTCGAAAGGTTTGTGCCCGTAATAATTCTCTCTTCGACGTACTTGCAGTTTCCACATGACCAAGATATTCACTAGCAAACACCGTCTCTGGAGCATATTCACAGTAAAGAAGAAGAATATTATAAGCACTTGTTCGTGCCTTTTCCCATCCCTCTGATAAAGACTCTAGTAAACCTTCTACAAGCACAGATGGAAATAATTGTTTTATTAAATCCATTTCTTGTAATTGTATGGGTGAAAGAAACTCTAACACACTTCGAATAAGAGATGTATATATAGACATCGCGGCAACCCGACGTTCCAATGACAAATTACGAGACCATTTGGCATTTTCACCAATTTGTGGAACAATACAAAGTACAGTTCGTACACAGTGATGAATCACAAGTTGTTTATATTCTTCTGCCGTTTTGGATTCTTCTAAACCTTTCCGTTGTCTAGTTTCTTGTTTTAAATAACTATCCACAAAACGTCTTGTCCATTTCTTATATAATTCTAATAAATTACGTAAAGCTGCAGAGTCTCCACCATAATGCATATTGGTACTTAAATACCATTCCATCATTCGACATTGCCACAACTCTACAGATTCAGATTTCTTCGTACTTAACACACAAAGACCTAATGCGGTGAAGCGAAGTTCACTTTCCTGTGCCTGAAGACTTGCCAATACAGCTTTAAAACAGGAACTGTTTGGATGAATATATGTAGAAACATCTCTTCCTACTAAACGAGCTCGATGAATAATTTCCACCACACTTTGATTTACCCGAGAAGAATTTTTTTCACTGCTTAATACATTTCCCAATTGTGAAAGTAAAGTTGGTAAATAAATCTCTTCACTTTTAAGACATGGAGAAATAATATGAGTTACAATATGTGAAACTTCTGCAACCTCATTTAAGTGAAAGAAAGATGCGTAACCAGGGATAAGAAGAGATTCAACTAAAGGTTCAATAATACCTTTCATAAAAAGGTTATTATGTTTTACATCTTTGTTATCCAATTTTAAAATACGACCAGCCATTTTGGCAAATACATCCCCAGCTATATTTCCAATTTTATGATTACCCGCACCAGAGATAAGTAATTTACTAAAACAACAAAGAGCTTGAATATCAGATATAGTTCCATTTTCATGTGAATAATATTTTCTTAATTCAGAAAGAAACTGCATCATTGGTACAACACTTATCAAACCTAATAATGCATGATACTTTCCACGCCTTTCATCTGGTATTGAAAGAATACTTTGTACAGTTTCAGCAGTATCAAACATTTCCTCATTCGTATTATTTTCTATACAAATTGAAGAAACCGTCAAAACACTACAACGTTTTAACATACAATGTACGGCAAGTATTTCATTATATGTATCGTACAATGGACCTGCTACTTGTTGTGTATTATCATCCCACATACCCATAATAACTTCTGTTGCTTGATTTAATGTACGAGTTAATTTTGGTGTCTTTACACATAACTCTATGAGTTCCTTTTTTTGAGAATCCAGTAATGTTTCTTTACCTCCTGCTCGTTGTAAACTTCTCTTTGCCACTTTAGTTTTAGTAATACTATTTGTATTTTCATTACATGGAACTTCTAAAATATCGGCAATACAAGAAAGAATAGATTCGATATGACGTACCACACTATCAATGGTTTGAATAGCCATAAATCTCGTATCAGGTGATTGAAGAGCAGAACAGTATTGTTCTACTGCTGGCATGATAATATCATGTACAGCTACTATTGCATAAGAAGAAGAATTATCATCTGTTAAAGGAATAATAGGTTTAAGAAGAACACCAAGGGATTCCACATTTCCATGAAGAGGAGTTGATAAATGAGCTAATAATCCTTTCATTAATGCAAATCGACCATTATTGGTAAAAGCAGAAAGAATTATTTGTAACGTCATGAGTTTCTCAGGATATTCTGTAAGCATACTCTTTGGATTATAAGAACATATGAGTTGTACTAACTCTCTTACTCTTTCTTCTTTACTTCTTTCCACTTCTAATCCTCCTGTTTGAGAAGAGACGGAATCCTCAACTTTCACCACTGTGGATGTACGCATTTCACTTGTACCACATTGTTTACATACCTCAAGTAACAACCATGGACAACATGTACGCAAGGTAAGAAGTGAGGAGACAAGTAATCCAGCTCCATTCAGAACATCTTTTGGAAATAATGATGATGAAAGCATTGATAAAGCAGGTGAGAGAAGTCTAGTTAAATTCTCTTGAATAGCATTTATCTTTGTTTCCTCTTTACAATTCCATATATTTTCAAAAAGGTACAAAAATTTATGAATATAGGTCGTAACAACACGAATACCATAACGCACATACGCCAAATCTTCTCCCAAAAGTGTACTATTGTTATTATTATTATTATCATTATTATTATCGTTATCAATATTTCCTGTTTCGCTTACTTCAGCTTGACGGGATCCCATACGAGCATTTGCTACCATCCACTGCAGACTATCACCAAGAAGAGGAAAAACATCAAAAAATGTATCGGCAAATACAGAAGGAAAAATAGGTAATGCCACAACACTTGTACTATCAATACAGTTTACCCAACTCATAACGGAATCCTTTAATTGTAAAAGTTTTTCTGCATCTCCCATTAAAGTTTCAAGGTGATCCCCAAGTATAGTAGGCTGTTTTAACGTATCAGAATTCCAACAACTAATATGAGTGGTAATAAAGGCTTTACGAAACTGTGATTCCAACATATCATCCTTCCCATACACCGTGCGAATCAGTGTTGCCAGAGCGCGATGAAGATAACGTACAGTACAACTAAGCAGAAGTGGAAGTATAAAGTGTTCCGCCAGTACATGAAGGAATACTTTACATGCCTCATCATTTTTTTTCTCCAGAAATGTCGCCTCTCGTAAGGCGCCTGTTATCTGAGAAACCGTTCGCACCCGCTGCTCTGGTGTAGTGGCATTAAGCAGATTTTCTACTTCTCGACATACAATTTGAATGGCTTTGGGAGATATGATAGCCGCAGAGATAGCCGCCTCACGAATAACGGCAGCGCCAGCCGTTAATTGAGTGATCAGAGCGGTGGGAATCGCAACATCAGCGACGGAATCCGGTCTGTGTTGCTGCACTCGCTTGGAGGTGCTGTACTCGCTCATAGCGATTTGTTCTCTTCTCGTTCGTTCTTGGAGTCAACCAAATAAAAAAGAAAAAAAGAAAAAGAAAAGGATACACAGAATATGATAGTTGGGAGAAGAACGTAAAAAAAAAAAAAAGGAAAAACAAACAAACAAACAACAACAATAACAATAAGAAAAGAATTTAGACAAACAACATATACAAAACACCACGTTATATTTCACAGAAAAAGAGATGTCATCTCATTCCACACACAAGAAACAAAACAAAAAAAAAAAAAACTTTTATACATGAAACGCCTCACACACTCCAGAGACAAAGGAAACATACACAAATATACAGTAAAATGATAATGAATTCACTCATCCGTTAATCCCATATTATATTTCCATCGTCGTAGTGACTCACCCGGTTGGGGTTTCTTCTCCTTTTCTTCTTCTTGAGAGACAGGTGGAACTGGACGTGGATAGTGAGAACTACGAGACTTTCTTTTCTGCCCACTTTCATCATAGTGTGGCCGTGGCGGTGGACGTACGGCCAGCACTTCATACCGTGTGTATGGTCCACTTGTTGTAAGTGTTAACATCGGCCCACAGTAACCCGGCGGTGGTGGAGTGCTGTGCCGTCTACTTATTTCCTCCTCCTGACTCATCTTATTGGGCCTATACCGAGTTGTGTACTCCCGCATGAGAGCCTCTTCCACGTCGGGAGTGAGAGTTTCCATCGGGCCACCGCGGAGTGCTGGGCGGTTGGGCGCTGGCGGTGTGGGCGGCGGCGGTGGGGGCGATTGGCCGCCGTACTCCCGCAGCCGCGCCTCGCGTGATGCGTGAAATAATTTGAATTGCCGCAGTCGTGCGTCCTCGGCGCGGATGAGAGCATCAATGGCCGCGTCGTCTAGTGGATCCATGAGAGTTTACACCTCACACCGCATATGAATAAGAGGAAGAAGAGAAAGAAGGTGTCGTGCTACCGATGAGGGAATTATCGGTACTAACAACAAGGGACACAGAGGCAGAAGTGAGAAAGAAAGCGAAAACCAAAGAGGTTCTTCTTTCTTGCTTTTCTTTCTCTTTTCTGTAAAAACCATACATGGTAGTAAACCAAAAAACAAAACATGGAAGAAGAAGGAGAGAGAAAGAGAGAAAGAGAGAAAGAGAGGGGGTTATCAACCATATAAGAGCAGCAAATGAAGGAAGAGTACAAAATTTGGTTATGAAAGATAGTAAAAAAGAAAAGAAACACAAGCTACAAGAACAATAAATAGCACTATCAGCATCACTGACAATAAGTCAGAGAAATAAAAAGCTCTCGTGTAATAAGAACATCACTAAACAATGAGAGAAATAAAGAAAAAAAAAAAGAAAATCGCACCATTCCTTCAGCTTTGGAAAAGGAAACAGTAAAAAAAAAATCATACACACAAAACCACACAGGTATACATTATGCGCCAGATTTTCGTCACTGTTTACACATCTTTGCTTTATTGCCACTTCTCTTTGTTTCCCTAATTCCGAAAGGATGAAAAGGAGATAGAATCGAAAGACAAGACGAAAAGTTGACAAAAAGAAGAACGACTATAAAATCATGTACACATAAATAAATAAATAAATAAATAACAACTATTTATTTGGAGCGTTTTTTTTTTTTTTGTCTTCTTCTTTCTGTTTGAGGCAGACGCAACAACAAAAAAGAAATAATATTCACTTCCCTTTACCCCTTTTTCTCCCTCGATCCCCATATATTTATATATTCATATATAAATGGGGAGATTGATGCGGAACTACTTTCATTTCTACACTTCCTGGCATTCTGGTAGGATGCGGCAAGTGAGGATAGAACAGTGTTCTGTTTCTTTTTTTTTTCTTTTTTTTTTTTTTTTTAATCTACTCCATTAGGGAATCCCATATTTATATTTCGTATGTACACAGTGTGATACTGGTGGATTTTCTTTCTCTCCCTTTTCTCTTTATTTCTCTCTTGATTTGTTTCTCTGTTCTATTGCTTCACTCACCCTTCACTTGCAACCTTTCCTTTTTCGCCCACTCAACCCTGACCCCACCCAAACTTCATTTTTTTCTTTCTTTCTTTTTTTTTTTTTCCTCATCTTTTTTTTTTTCTCTCTTTTCTTCAGATTCTTCGCTTTGATTTTCAAAATCCTTCTTCTCTCTCAGTTTCGTTTTCGTTCCCTTTTTTTTTTTTTTTCTTCCTTCTTCTTCATTTTAATCCTCGTCGTCACTCTCAATGAGTGGACCATGCTGCATAAAGTACGACTCCTGAATAATTTCCACATCATCCTCATCGTCATCCTCATACACGCACGCGGGCACGGCGGGAATCACGACATCCACCGGAGTGGCACACGTCCCTCCGACCATCTCCACAGATCCGGGAGTGTTGGCGGTGTGTGTAAACGGCGGTTGTTCCCACAGGGACTGATCTGCAAAGCGGCGCAGCATCGCCACGTCCATCGCCGGGACATCCGAAATAGGGAATAACTCCTTTGGTGCCGTGCAGTGCGTGTCGAGGGTTTCAAAACTCCCTTGATGCTCCATCACCGTAAGCTCCGTGACGAGTTCAAGGAGTTGACGTCGAATATCTTTTTGTAATCGTTCAAGATCAAATAAACGATCATGTTCTTTTAGAAGGAGGGCAAATTTGGTTCGGGAAACGGGATTAGGAAGGGTACGAAGTGTTTGCATACAACCAAGTGCTATATTTACCTTCTCTCGAAAATCAAGAATTTGAACAGCTTCTTCAATAGGAACTGTAAAACGTTTCATCTGTCGATTACATAACACACCAAAGTATACATTATTACCCTTTTCCGTAGAAACAGGTGAGGAATACTCTACTTGTGGGTAAAGTAATAATAATGAGGCGAAAAAGTATGGTGTGTGAATAAGTGAAAAAAGTCCAGCAAGAATAGTATTACTATTCTTAAGAATGACAGGAATTAACGTTCGTCCAGTATCCCATTTTATAGATGATGGAATAAAGGTATGGGATACCAAACGTTTTGAAGTACGAACAAACGCCATAGAAGCATAACGATCTTTTTCATTTAAGTGACCAGCATCTCGAATAAATGCTGCTCGTCGTGCTAATGCAACCGATTCTAGTAATAAGAAAATAGTTGAATTTTCCTTTACAGATACGGTTACATTTTCTAGAGCTGATAATGTATTAAAGCGATCCAAATGAAGATAATTGGTTAATTGTTCTCTCATATAATTCATAAGTCCTTCTATTTTAGTTAATTTAAATTCTTGAACAAGAATTTCATCCAAAAATGCAGAAGTAGACTCTCCACGAGAACGTAACTTTAACCATTCAATAAATACCAAAGTATCAGCAAGAAGATCACTATGACGAGCAATACCATCACCATATTTTTCTCGACTTTGCATCGTACATTCATTCCATCGATTGCTGTCATATGTTAAGGGAGTAGTAGATCGAAAAGGCAATGCGGCTACGCTACCAATAGCTAAAGCTGCTTCACCAAGACCAACATTACAACCACCAATAATAAAAGAGGCAATATCCAATTCCACAGGTAATCTAGCTGCCATTTCACCCATAAAAGTAATGGCAAGATTTTGGGAATGGGCAATCATACACTTTTCAGCGAGGTTATGCATAACTTGCTCCACTGTATCCGGTGGAATATGAGGAAGATAAGAAAGTACTTCATTCATAGAAAGATTAAGTCGTGCACATTGAAGAAAAGCATCTTCTACACTAAAAAGATCAGGTGTAGAATTAACATTTTCACGAAATGCTGCCGCAACTGCATCTGGATATAAAGCAAAATAACAATATTCTTTCTTTCCATCAAGTAAAGACAAACGTTCAGCTCGTTCTGTCTTTGTCATCCATTCTGTTGTGCTGGAAGCCATGAAACTCTCAGACTTATGCTGCACGGTTGCCCTACGAATAGTACCCATATCCAATACCATTGTATACTCCATATCCGCATCCAATGTGTGACGTACATGATTTAATACATACACACGATGTCTGGTATCTGTGGTTTCTTCTGTACTTTTCAATCCAGAATATACAGCACAACTTTCAAGATGCATATTCTGTAATGCAGTAAGAACTTCACGTGCTTCAGCTGTAAATATTACAATTACTTGAGGTTCTTTACTTTCTCTAATAATTTCTCCTACTACTTCTGCTGCAACTTGAGCTACGTAGTCAATCAGTCTTTTTGTAGGTCCAGGAAAATTTCCAGTAGAATCTTTTTCCATTTCCATCATTTCTTTTCCAACCAAAGCACATGTCTCACCGTATGAAAATTCAGTTGTTTGTGGAACTTCATTATCAAGAAAAGCTATTTTAAGTCCTTCAAACATTTTTTCTATCTCACTATGATTAGTTCGTTCTGGAGTTAAAACAAGTCGTGATAATTGAGAATCACTGTTATTATTTAACATCCATTTTCCAAGCGCTTTTACAAAGCAAGATAGTAGTGGAGTTGTATTAGTTAATCCTGGCACAACTACATGCGTAAAAGGAGCAATATTATGCAACTTTGTCAAATATAAAAGTGCCATTTCTGCACTTGTAACCCATAAAGGTGTTGATGCAGTTCCTTCAAATGTTTGACCACAAAATTCTCCCACCACTGCTTTTTTACCTTCAACTTCTAAAGAATTCAGGTATGTTTTAACAGGGTTTACTTCAAAGTATTTTGGCACCACCACAAGCACTTTAGATCCTGGTTTCATAGTAGAAAGAGCAACTGCCATAATAAGTGCTTCTTGTGATTTACGTGCCACCACAATATTGTGGTCAATAAATTTATCCATTCCCAAAACACATTTTGGTAATGTTGGTCCTGTTTTCTGAGCCATAAGAGCATTTTTTAACTTTCCCATAACTTCAGCTTTCCTAGCCTGTGGTTGACGCGTTGTTGTTCGTACTTGTTTCATCCTTCCCACAATAACACCCTTACATATGTGTTGAATAGCATCCACATCAAATTGAAGAACATTAGTTTCACTCGTGGTAGACTTTTTCGCATTTCCCAGCATGTGATCAGGATCAAATGGATGTGCTGCATTAGGATCACTTATTATAGTAGTATTCTCTCCAGGTGTTTGCAGTGAGGCAGGAGAAACGGCACTTCCCGGGGAAACTACCTGTGGGGCAACAGCAGGAGATGAACTGACCTTTCCACCTTTTCTACCAAGGCGGAGAACCGTTGCCATGACTATTTGCTGTTATTTTCTGAAGCAGATGTTTACGTGTAACGAGTGTTTTTTACTTTTTTTTTTTACTTTTTCTCTTGTTCTTTCCTTCTTTTTCTTGTTCTTTTTCTTTTCCTCCTTCTTAGGGCCAGTTGTTGTGTATGTTTGTGTGTGTGTGTGCGTCGGATTTGTTCCTCCGCACCCAAGTGAATGGTTTAACTACCTTTGTTTAAAACTCTTTACGTGTTGAGCTTTTTAGTAGTGAATTTACCGTTCATGTTATTTAGATAACAACAGTGGTATTAAAAACGAAAAAAAAAGGAAAGAAAATGTACGTATTATGATTATATATATAAAAAAAGACAGTACATAAAGGGAAAAGAAAAGAAAAATAAAAAATAAATAAAAAAAAAGCACAAAAAAGAACTATCAAATATTTACGAAAAAGGTTAGAAAAAAAAAAGAAAGAGGATAAAATATGTTTAACTTCTTCCTTTTTTTTTTTAATTTCTCTCTTCATATTTGCTTCTTCTCTCTTTTATTACCGCATAGAGAACGGTATAGATGAGAAGAATATCCCTTCACTCTTCATATTCCTCCTCGTTCTCATTATATTTGTTTCATTGTAGTTGTCACCCAAAAACCACTAGGTGCATCTTTTTCAGTTTCGTTAACATTACTCTTCCAGAGTACACGCGCCCGTTCACGCGTTGCTGCCACCAACATCTTCTTGGCAACATCTACCCATGATGTCTGTTGTTGTTGTTCTCCTTCTTTTTCTTTTCCTTCTTCTTGTTGTTTTTGAACGGTACCATTTTGTTGAGTTTTATCCGTTTCTTCATTATCACTTTCATCACCATCTTCTTCAAACATTCCACTAGACGCTTGTTTCAACACCAGCGCTTCTCGACGACGAATCACATCTTTAAAAGTAACACGTAAATGCGTTGTAATAGATGCAGATACACGCTTTACTTCACTCCGCAAAACCCCAATTGAAGCCTCCTTTAGATGAGGGTATACAAACTTTAAATAAGTAACAAGACAGTTTACTTCAGCCGCAGCATCATAATGATGATCCAAATCTTCATCTGGTAAAAGAAGATGATTAAAATGTACCTCTTCTCGCACACGTGTATTAAAAAAGAAGAATTGATTTTCTACATGAGCCACATTATATGGTATTTGATGTGCCCCACAAGGAACTACCAATCGCCCTTCTGTACTTGTTGGACGAGTCCATATAGGCAATAGAATATCTCCTCGAAGGTATTTCACCGTACCATCTGGTCCAATTAAATTAGATAACACTCTCCGTCTCTTTTCACCAATTCCTATATTTTTATGTGTGTAAGGTAAACGAAATTTAAGCATACCATACTTTCCTTGTAATATTTGACACCAACACTCCTGTGCCCTCATATTTTCTGCCACATGATCTTCAAAATTAGGAAGATTTACACTTCCTGAACGAATATCAGATACAAACAAAAGTGGTTTATTGCGTTCCATACCAACGTAAGAAAGTAATTCAAAACCAATAGGAATATTTAATTTAGGCTCATACATAGATGGAATATCTTCTGTACCACGAGCAACATCAAGAGTTCCTACAATACTTTGAAGTTTTGAATGAATTTCATTTTTAGCTGATTTCACACTATCAACAGCAACTTCACGGTAAATAGATCCCAAACCAGGTAAAACCTCTAAAAGACGACGAGCATTAATACCATATGCAGTAGCATTTGTAAAGAATTCATTACGAAGTGAAAAATTTTTTCGTGGTTCTAGTACTGGACGATCAAATTTACCTGGATCTACAAGTTCCCATGTGTGTCTACACTGAAAGAGTTCATCAAGGAAACCAAGATGAGTTCCAGGAGCTGAACCAGCGTACACAATGTGATATGATGTATTAGGAGAAGTATATAATGACAAGAGTTGTATCTCTGATAACAATAGTTTACGTTGACCCCAATGAATTGCCGTTTTCACGTCTTGACTTCGTGATCGATAATTCTCTGCCGGAAACTTCTCGTCCATTATAAAAGGGAATGGAAGAGAAGAAGGATAGTGATACACCGTGCGGGATGCAGATGCTGTAGATAATCCATTTACTGCTGTTTCCTTCTTACTGGTTGCATCACTATCCCTGGGTCGTTTTTTGAAAAGGCCACCGTACATAAATGTTCTGCACTTATCAAACCATATACATATATATATATATATATATAAATTAATAAAGAAAAAGAATAAGAGAAGAATTTTACAGAGAAAAATAAAACAGGAAAAGTCTTCTCCTTTGCGTACAAAGGAGACATAACAATAAAAAAACACACACACAAAAATGGAATATCTTCAAATAGAGTAAATAAAGAAAAAAAAAAAATAACCTGATGTAGCGATGCGTACAAAGAAAACAAAACAAAGAAGAAGTACATGTTCACCTAATCCAATCCCATATGACCCTATTGTATGGCTTTCTTTGATAACTCCTCTCAAACTCATCTCAAAGCACAGATATACCTCACACTACAGCTTCAGTAGAAGAGAAACAATTTAAAAAAGACCACATATTAAACCCCAGCAATAATTTTAAAAATGCAGAGGTTTTTTTATTCCGTTTTCTTCAAAATCATTTCCTAGTAAAAATAATAGAATAAGAAATTATAACACCATCCCCTTCTACTCATAGTTTTTTTTTTCCTTTTTTTTCTCGATTTGTACTCCTCCGTGGTTATTTTTTGGAAAGTAAAACATCAGCGGCGGACTCGACCCACAGCACGACAAGTTCAGCCCCAGGGTCCTGGCGACCAATTTCTTTTCCTTGCATATACCGACTTCGTCCGTGTTTTGCCGGTAACTGTGCGGTCGCAGCTGCTCCCTTTTTTGCGGCTTCAACACAGGCAACCGCCAAATCTTGCAAAGAGGTAGCAGAAGTGACGGCAGGACTCATATTAATTTCCTCCAGGACATCAACCATCGTACGATCTCCCCTCTTGGCCCGTCCTAAACGTTGTACACTCGCACTACCACCTTTCAGACCCTTTCGAATGAGTTCTACCGCGTGAACCTCGCCTTTCTTCATTTCCTCACTAACAGCCGTACCAATACCAAGAAGAAATGCACCACAGAGTGGTCCTGACGTCCCACCACAGGCATCGGCTACCGCTTCTGCAAGGAGCGAAAAGGTCTTGCCGACATCCTCTTCCCAAGGGAGGTACGGTAATAGTTCAAGTACCTTGAGGGCGGCACGTTTTATTCCACTGCCAAGATCACCGTCCCCCACTGCGGCATCAAGAGCGTTAAGATAATTTTCCGATCCTTTCAGGGACTGAAAAATAGCTTCAGCCACCTGATTCATAAGTCCAGCAGGATGGGATTTATATTTTCCCTCTTTTTGGGCAATCTGTAATGCAGTAGAAGGTCCAGGAACGTAGGTAACGGTTAGTTTTGGAACGTTAAAAGGCATAAGACTTGACTGACTTTCACCAAACAAATACTTAATATCATCATGGTTCGAAAAACGCAAAATAGTAAGCGAAAATCCATGCATTTCCAGTGCGGTCATATAACGTCCAACGGATATTCCAACCACGTTTACACCAGCCTCTGAAAGGTACTGCAAAGCATGGTATGAGAGTATTCCCATTTCAAGATCTGTAGTAGATCCCAAGTTATTTACCACAAGTGCCACCTCTGCACCCTTCCAGCTTTGCTTCTGATCACCAGATCCAAGCAGAATATCAAGCAGGTGAGTAACCAGCTCCTTTGCTCCTTTGAACGGCTGCTGATAAAGCCCCTTTTCGCCGTGAATACCAAGTCCCACCTCCACACTTCCCACAGGTATTGTGGCAGTGGGAGCCGCACCCGGCAGTGAACATGAAGAGAGTGAGGCTCCAATAGAGCGTATACCGGCGGAGATGCGACCGGCAAGTTCTTGCAGCGCCGTCAAACTTTCACCCTTCTGGGCGGCAGTGCAAAGTATTTTGTTCAGCAACACAGTACCGGCAATACCACGGCGTCGAGTAATATCATCTACGCCAAAGCATGCATCATCGGCGGAGAGGACCATGGCTACAGAGATACCACGTCCTCTGGCCTCTTGAACTGCAAACTCAAAATTCAATATATCACCAAAGTAGTTTTTCACAACAATGAGAATACCAGGACCATTAGGACCTTGTTTTTCGTACAGGTAATTAATGGCAGCACGTACGTGTGCATAAGGAGGAGATGCAAAGACTCCTCCAGAGACTGCAGCACTTAGCCATCCATCTGCAACGTATCCAACATGAGATGGTTCATGTCCTGCTCCCCCACCACACACAATAAGGACTTTTTTGGGGTCAAGTTGACTATTAACTACCACATGTGTATTTTCAATTACCTGCAACTGTGGCTTTGACATACATAGCGCTTTAATGGCCGTATCAAGAGCAGTATCTGCGCTATCAATAAACTTTGTGCTTGTCATTGTTTTATTAAGAATGAGAATCACTAATAACGCTGGCAATCTAATGAAGAAAGAAGAAAGAAAAGCGGTCAACGTATTGGTGAAAAAAAAAAGGCCAACAATACATGAAAAAAAAAGATATCTCATATGTTTTTACAGAGGACACATGGAATTGTTAGCAAACCTATAGTATATACCAATTATCTTTTTTTTTTTTTTTTT